GGGGGGGGGGGGGATTAAAGAACTACATTAGATGAAATTACAAAAAATTTTCAGGTTGATTTTGTTTTCCGTGTTAGAGTATCTAATCGAAAACCAATTGACAATAGTTGGAGAGACTTGTTAATCATATCAGCAACCTTGGATAGTCGTAATCTTTTGACGTGGAATACAATCTCTTTGCATAGCCTCCCCTATGTGCAACTTATTCAACTCAAACCCAATTGGCAATGATTAAAGAGGTCTCTCAAGCGTATAAACTAATCTCAGTGACCCCAATATTTCAATGTCAACGCAAGTTGTGTTCGCATAAAGCGACAAGGTGATTCCAAAAGCATCAATACTAATCTTTAGAGTACATATTCTAATCTATGGAGGACATATATAGGGACATTGGATATGACACTTCACAATATGATAGGTAATGCGAAGATGGGAAAGAATCTATACAATTCGGAGATAGATATGGGAAAAGTACCTCAATTAAATATGAAATTATATAGCATTGTTGTATGATAAAATTTTAAACTTGATAATATATGGTCGTATCTAACTGATATTCATGATAGCAAACCTATTTTATATTGTACTAGATAGTATAAGATATTTATTTTATCCTAATCAAGGTTGCAACTTGGGTGGGCTAGCCAGGTAAAGGGGTCAACCTTGGCAACACCCGTGATATAAAACAATCAACTCGAGTTGCCCCAAATCGGAGCTTCAAACCGAGTATTGCCAATACTTAAATTTTGAACCCGGTTTAAACTTGAGCTACAAAATTTGGGCTTAAATTTGGGTCACTTGTACATCACTCCAAACACATCTCTTTCCTCTCATTCCCATTGCCACACTGTTAACACCACTATTGTAGTCTGCCCCGCAACCCACCTCACTCACAACCACCACAACTTATAGAGAGAGAGAGTACAAAAAGAACTATAATGTGTACATAAAGTTCAAAATGATCTAAGTGAAATGCTTTGATATTGATATATAAAAAGTCTAGAAAAAGGCTTCAAAAAGTTAGGTCTAAGGTTTCTAAATTTTCTTCAAATACACAAATAAATCAGCCAAGAAAAGGGAAGATGGTGGGACAAGAAGGTGGAGTTGGAGGATGATAAGTCTGAAAAATTATAGAAGAGAAAATAAGGGGAAGAACGGGGAAAAGCAGATAGCAGCAGGACAAAAAAGCTAGAAAGTATAAGATAAAGAGAAAGGAGATAGCAGAGGGGCTGTTGTGTCCTAGTGCTTGTTGGTTTGATCAAGTATTGAAAAGTTTTTCCCAAATATCATATTTTTAGGTTCGGGTTTGGCCTGACCCACCCAAGTTGCATTCCTAGTCCTACTTTACCAAAAATTGATATAAATGTAAGTATTGAGACATTTAATCTACAACATCAAATAAATAACACTCCATCTAAGATATTTAAGTTGGTCTCTTGTTTTCACTTCCTACATCTATTCAATAGTAATTATTTGAGTGACTACTTGTTACAGAGAAAACCTTTTCGATAACATACTCCAAGATTAGCTACTTTGAGGTTATAATTATTGCTTTTAGTTCACTATAGATATCATATCTTTGTTTTAGATGAATACTATTTTATATTCTTCAATGATTCACCTAAAAAATGAACAAATAATTTTCTAGTCCTAACATTTCCTCCACCTATCTTTAACGTGCTGATTGAGTATCTTCATCATACCCAAATATATCCAAAATTGAAAACTCATCAAGAGTATCCGATTTGTATCTAACTATCTATGATACATATTGAATAGGATACTCCGGCATTAGTGGAGTATCTATGCTAACATGTTTAAAAGAATTAATCTATATGTCAATTTTATGTGCTTCCAATCCACTGAATCTCTTGAGCATATTTCTCTACCAGATTTCGGCTAATATTCTGCCAAACTATTTGATGATCAAGCATCAATCCAAGGTTTTAATATTCTTGGTAGGCCGCACACTTGTCAGTCCCCTATGAGTATTGAATATTCGGAAAAACAAGTGGAGTTGATGAATGGTCGTGTGATCAAGGATGGAAAGAAATCAATGAACAACTTCAAAGCACATGAAGGTTCTCATTGTACTTTGTGATACCAATGTGGAAGTTGAAGTTGAAGCAAAAGATGATAATTTGTACGATTTAGAGTTGGAGTCATAACCTTTAACTTTGTTGCAACCAAGAATGGTTAGAAAGAGCTGGAAGAATGCTACACGAGTAAATATATTTGTGAGTTGAGGAAAGTGTGCAAAAATCTTTGAAACAAAATTTTCTTAGGATTGGACTTTGAAGTTGATTTCTTCAACTATTTGTTAGATTGTCTTTGAAAAGTCGATGAAAAAGTGAAAAGGCTTTTTTTGGCATCATATTGCTACCGGGACGTTAATTTAAGTTTCAAAAAAACAAATTTTGAAAAAAGAAGCTTTTCATTCCTAAGTGGGAGAATGGGGAAGTTCATGACCTCAAATATTGGTGGTAGTCTTTAAGATGTTGTAGTAAAACATATCGTTAGCATATTGTTCCTTATAGGGGCAGTCATTCTGGACATTACCCACTCATAGGATTCATTCGGACAATGGTAGAGGGTTTAGGTTGAGCTTATACATGTTTTTGTGGAAGAATCCTGCACCCATGGGCTTATGGCCTGGCAAGCATTCCCTTCCACTGGAGCTTCGTGGGCGCTGTCCCATTCCCAATCAGATGTTTGGACGTGAGCAATAACCAGGAAGGAGCGAAACATGCGTATGGCCTTGCCATGCCATTTGACTGTCATTAACTGGATTAAGGCTATTGACATGTTTATTAAAAATGTAGCGCTAGTGTTTTAGGCCTCAAATCATCTTAACATGAGTGGACCTGTTTAATTAGATTTTTATTGTGGACTCAAACAATAACGAATAATAGTAGCATATGCATCGTATGTAGTATAATAGCAAGCCATTTTACATAAAATACTTATACAGGTTAAATGCTTTAAATTAAGAGGAAGTGCAACATGCTCAAGAAGTTGTTCTGTTTAAATTTCTTAAATCATGTGTTAAACGTAACACAATCCATTCATAGTAATAGGATTGGTTTACATGATATATTAACTGTGTTTTTGTTTAACCTATTTAGCAGTACCTGTATCTAAGCACAGGACGATCCACCTAACCATAGGCCTGGAGTCAAGTTGAACTCTGTGAGCTACTGAAATACCAAAGACCTTTGCACCCCTATTTAAAATTTTCCCAACGGCTATGCAAATGGAAGTGACCAAAACTATTTGGCTTTTGTGCTAAATAAAAAAGTAAAAAACACATGCAAAAAAATGAGGTGGTAAAGGAGAGATCAACTTGTCATGGAAGGAACTTCATGTTGCTTGTGAATTTTTCTACACTGAATGCAAACCACTGATTTTATGTTCTTAAAATTGTAGCCTAATTCTCAAGAACAAACTACATTTATTTGCTTGTTTAAAGATTGATATAAATCCTAACGTTTTTATGTGATTAGCTTATGGTAGGCATTAGGGGCAAACAAAGCAAGAGTATATTGGGGTCTGCAACAATAATCTCGTAGAAAGAATAACTTCTATCCAGATTTCTATTATTTATTACTGTTACAAAATATATAAATGATTTGATTAATAACTTATGGATGGTAGTGCAAGAGGTAGAGGTAGCTGAAATAAATTTTGAATTATCTAGTAAAAATAATATGATAGCTTGTGGTCTAATTGAAAATATGACCCTTGATAGAGCATAATGGCGGAGTAGAGTTCATGTAGACAACTCCAAACAGTTGGAATAAAGCTTTGATGAGTTGACTGGCTCTGCTATTGTGCCTAACAATAATGATCATCCCCCAATATAAAGCAACCTTTGTAGCTCTTTGTTTTGCATTCGAGGATATACTACATATAAATGAACAAATGCAAGTTTTTTTTCTCTGTCAATGTGGTGTAATTCTTAGAAGGTTCCAGGTTTTGTAAAAGAAAATTACCATAAGCACAGAAGTGGCAAAGTTGCATGTCTTCCTTTAACTTCTTGTCTTATCATGCTGCATATACTCTCTGCACAAAACCTTTGCGTATTGACCTCTCTTTTTACATACTTTCGTAGTTAAGGTGTTTCTTTTTCCTTGCTCATGAAGCCGCCCAGAGATTTCATTGCTTCTGTTTATAGTTCCTCTACTGTTGATATGAGATCCTCATCTTCTCAAATATCTCTTTTTCATCTGATACTTTTAGTAGCTTCCACCATTTTTTTATCCTAGCTACCAATGGAAAATTTCCGACTTACCGTACAAAGTGTTCCAGTGGAACTTTAATAAATTTCTGTCATATTGTTGCCTTGGTTCAATGGTTGAAATTCAACCCAAGCCTCGAGATTGTGGGTTCGTTATGAGGGTAGCCAATTTGGGCCAATAATCCCAATATAGTTTTGTATAATGGACTAAAGTGGGTGTTATTATTTTTTGGATAGTTGCCATTATGATGCCAACACCATGACAGCATGTCTAAGATGAGATTTTAATCATTGCCCCTAGAAGATTAATCACATGTTGCATTCTTGCTTTGTCTATGGCTCTTGCACACGCCCATTATAAAGAGGAAAGTGAAGTACTTGTGAGCATTTCATGCCCGACACTTTATTGAGGTTTTCACTCCACCTCATCTCAGAGTCGGAACTTGTTTCTCCATTCAGTTCCACTATTATTTATTTGCATCACGCATAATATTATTTTTTTGTGATCTAGTGTCCGTGTTGTCATTGAATGCTTTTGTGGAAGCTGAAGTTGACTGTCATGGTAATAGGAGTATCTCCTTTGCATGCTCTTTTACATGTTCTTTTGTGCTATCTGTTTTACAATGAAAATGAAAACGCTGCTATTACAGGATTTTATGGAAGATGCAAGCATTGGAGCATCGTTTGATGATGCTCAATTCCTCACAAAGAATGGGCAATCAAAAGAACTATTTCTATCCAGCGATGCCAGTGCTGTGGTTGAACACACAAAAAAGGTCTTGGTGATTGAGGATGGTGAAGTTGTTCATCTTAAGGTACTTTCTTTTGTTATGTCTTGCAAATTACAAATTCTACTTCTTGCCATTGTTCCAATGGGCTTGGTGTAGTTATATGCTTTTATGAAGTTAGAAGAACAAAGTCCTCTTCCTTTTTTCCTTCTACATGCATGTTTAATTGATTATGAGAGATTGATTACATTTATTTTTGTCGTGGTTCCATCAGATTGTATCTTATGGTGCTCTTGACAATTGAATGTGTTTGGATATTTCAAATCATGCAGGATGGGTTTTTGGTTTTACCCATGTTTTGTATATATATATATATATGAACGGACTTTTTGACAAACTACGATCATATTTTCATGGAACATATTTCAATATTTTGCTTACGCAACGGCTTTAAGCATGTTGAGGATCCCATGATTGATGGCTCAACAATCAAATCAGAAGATTGATAGAGTGGCTAATATTTGATTATTTAGAGGTGAATAAGAAGATGATATTGTAATTTGCTCTATTAGTCATAGTTGATGGATTGATTTGTTTCTTGTATAAAACTTTCGTCACCTTATAAATATAGGTGAGATTCGTGGGATTCATGTACACTCGACCGAGTATAATGAAAATATGCTCTTTGTGGTTGTGTCATGGATGTAGGCCTTGTGATTGAACCATGTTATATGCTTGTGTTCCTTTGTCCTCCATTTTCTCTCTTCAATCTCCTTGTCTCAAATTTGACATAGTATCAGAGCTAATCGATCAGACCTTGCTGGATTTGTTTTCTCTTCGATCAGTACAATTTTAGTTTTGCGCATACTTTTTCTTCAAGTATGCACGTGTTCAATCCGTGCACTGTCTTCTACGTATTTGCATGATTTTCATTCTATTTAACGTCTTTACAAGGATCAAAATTTTGTGTCGATGTATTGTTTCGGTCACTTACAAAACATAAACGTTTTGATGTGTTTCAGAAACATAATGAAAAAAATAAAATTTAAGAATTAATTTTTCAAATCATTGATCGGAATATACTAAAGTATCTTGAAATACCTTGAAACATTTCAAAAAATTGTGCAAATACATTGAAATATTACAAAACACCTCGAAATATTATATAAAACATTTTGAAGTATTAGAATTTTTATTCCATCATTAATTCGTTTTGGTCTCCTTGAAAACGGAAACATTTTGATTGTTTCAGAACGAAATTTTGATCCTACTTCAAATTTGCACGATATTAATTGTGTACCTCTTGTGTTTGTATGTGTTCATTCCATACATGTGTTTCATTCTCTTTATATTTACACGATGAGTCATAGCAACATTCCGATAACTTTAATAACGCAACAATACCAAGCTACATTATTTTCCATCTTTTCGTTCTCAAGTTCAAGTTGGTCATTTCATTTATACATTTTTATGTACTAACTTCGGGGAAGTTTTGTGGATCAAAATTTTGTGTTGTGTATTGTTTCGGTCACCAATAAAATAGAAACGTTTTGACATATTTTAGAAACAGAATGAAAAAAATAAAAATTTAAGAATTATTTTTTCGAATTATTAGTCGAAATATAACGAAGTATCTTAAAATACCTTGAAACAATCCGAAACAATTGTGTAAATGCATTGAAACATTACAAAACACCTGAAAATATTTTATGAAACACCGCAAAGTATTAGAATTTTGATTCCATTACTGATTCGTTTCGGTCTCCTTAGAAATGAAAACATTTCAGAAGTTTTGATTGTTTCAAAACAAAATTTTGATTGTACTTCAAATTTGCACGATATTAATTTCGTGCCTCTTGTGTTTGTATGGTGTTCATTCCATACACCTGTTTCATTCTCTTTATATTCACATGATGAGTCATATTGACAACTTCAATAATGCAACAATATCAAACTACATTATTTGCCATCTTTTCGTTTTAAATGTGAATCACAAGGTGATTTCATGATTTGCTCCATCGATCATAATTGACTGATTGATTCTTGCCTTGAATAATGCCTTCCTCACCTTATAAATACTGGTGTGATTCATCTACATAATAAATTAAGTGTAATGAAAGTGAAGCCCTTTGTTTTTTTTTTTTTGTTTTTGTGTTGTGGATGTAGGTTGTAGGGTCGAATCACGTTATATATTTGTGTTCCTTTGTAGTCTGTTTTCTCTCTTCAATCTCTTTTTCTCAAATTTAACGAAAGATATAGGAAATTAAAGAAAATGTCTCTATAACTCTATGGGACTTTGAAAGAGTGCCGGTTATGATCTTTTCAGATTAAGTCAATGTTCAAATATTTTTTTCAAATTCAAAACTTGAACTAGATTTCAATAAGCTTATGTGCAATTTTTTTTTTTCGAAATGTGATCTTGAAATAAAGAAATCATAGGACCATTTGACTTTAATTCTAGAACTCTATGTCGTGGTCAGATAAGATATACTGCTGAATATATCTAGATGGGAACAATACAATTGCTCAATTCTAAAGGATCTAGAACAATTTTACTAGGATCAAGGGTCAATTTAGAATTTGGTACGGGTAAGATATGCGATATGATTCTGTTTCTGATACACAGTGTGATGGGAGTAGACTTAGCTGGTGCGCTGACAAGATTTGTTTCGAACTCTTATTTGTGCATCCCTGGATTATGAGACGTACGAGTTAGTTGCGATTTCAATATCCATGAACTAGTAAAATAAAGGACTAGAAGTCGAATTTACAATGTTGTCATATTGGACCCCACAGACTCATTGTAGTCAAAGCCTTGTTAATTATATTACAACATGCTAAGAATTTTTGCTTTTCACCGGTAAACCTTAGAATATTCAAGCCGATTAAATTTTAACATTAAAAAAGTTTGCATCAAGGGAGAGCATTGTGCATCTGTTGTATGCTTGGTCGTTGTCTTGTTCTAGTATTAAAGAGAAATTTTTGGATCATGCTTCAAGGGTGTTTTAAGTTGGCAAACAATGCGGATTGTGAACTATGAATGGATTCAAGCTGAACAACCACGCTGGTCCATGTCTCATGCAATTAACTTATCAGATATTTAGCATTCATTTCGATGTAAATTTATGCATTTAAGTCTCAGAACCTACTTTAGAGAAGAGTGGTCAACATGTGGAGCCGGCATAAATTGGGATTTTGCATTCTCCAGGTTTTATTGTTGAGATAAAATTTAAGGAGAAATGTTGTAAGGGAATAAATGAATGAAGCATAGTTGTTAAAAAGAATCGTTTTGTGATCAATAAGAAGCAATGTTTTGTTGAAGAAGTAGAATAATCTTTGTTTAGCTCATCCAAGAAACATTTTTGTCTATGGTACAAACATAAAAGTCGGCTTTACAACAAAAGACTATAGAAAGATTTGGAATAGATTCATTAAACTAGTTTTATTAAAACTTTTGGCAGCCCCACAGTGGCTGAGCCACATAAGGACTTGTTCACCCTCAATTCTTTTTTCCTTACCATTACTCATATTATTTGTATTTATTTTTTTCAGTATGTCCAATTATGCCCACTAATAAAGACTCATTCCTATAATTATTAATTTTTGGACAAACTTCAAAAGCATTTAGATAAGTTTGGACGTATTATTGGTGTGCGATCTATCATCAAGTTTTTAAACCTAACAAAGATTCGTGATCTTACTAAAAAAAAAATTTAAGACAAGAAAAGACCTTGTGTATCCTTTCATTTACATATTTGTTACTTTGACTATGATTTTACTAGTTGTGATTGTAATTATTTCTTTAAACTATAAACCTTGTTAAAATTGGTTTGTTTTAATTAAGTGAGTAAAAAAATATGACTGATAGCATGCTTGTGTGCAAGGATCAAAATTTTGTTTCGGTACATAATTTCGTTAAGCTTGGAAATAAAAACACTTCGGTAATGTTTCGAAAGCAAGATGGAAACAAGAAAAATTTTGAAAATTTGTTTTCGAAGCATTGGTCGAAACACTTCGAAATATCGGAATTTTGATATTCAGTCAATGATTTGTTTCTTTTTTTATAGAAACCGAAATGTTTTGAATGTTTTGACTGTTTCGAAACGAAATTTAGTTCTTTTTACAAAAAAATAATTTTCGATGGTATTGATTATGAAGCTATCATACAATGCTATCAACCTATGAAAATCTGTCGGGTCAATTGTAAATAGTTGTAATTAACCTTATTCTTTGTAAAAGGTTACCGTCGATCTCTTTTTTTATTTCTGTTGTACACATTGTATGTTAGTTTCTGTCTATTTTTTTGTTGAATAGATTTTTAAGTATCGTTGAAGAGATAAATATTTTTTGTTGAATAGATTTTTAAGTATCGTTGAAGAGATAAATAAAGATAAACATATTATCTTACTTTTATCGATTAAGAAAAAACTTGTTAAGTGCCCACCCAAAATTTTTTCCTGGCTCTGCACCTGTAGCCCTAGATAATAGTTCATAAAAATATTTCTTGGTTAGTGATGATTTAAATATGTTACAAACCACTATATCTGGTTCAATGGCTACATTATCTTCTTGTGGGATGCACATTGTGTTGTGCATCAAACTCCCATGTTTATGAAACAATGCCCTTATAGGCACTAATTACTGCACTGAGTAGGATAGCTTGCAAAACTTCCTCTATTATGAAAATTCGTTCTAATGTAGCTGATTTTTTATATAGGCTGGACTTTCTTCATGGTTAGAGCCCGTCATTTTTATGTTTGAACCATCTTCAGTGTGGAGGCAGAGATATGCAGTTTCCACTTGCTGCAATTTTGAATTTTTGATTATGTCATTGATCAACATTGTTCCTTTTGTTGGTAATGTCTGGATGTTTGTGTGTGTTTGCATCTTAGATTTTCTGCTCATTTGCTCTTGATATCTCTCATTCCAGGATGGAGATTTGTCACATTTCAAGTTTGATCATGTCAAGGGAAAACAAGGTGATACTCTTGCTAGGCCTGCTTCTGTGCAGCGTGCATTATCCTTTCTTGATATGGAGGTTGAGCAAATAAACAAAGGAAAATATGAGCATTATATGCAGAAAGAAATTCATGAACAACCTGAATCTCTCACAACAACTATGCGAGGGAGGCTCATACGTGGAGGATCAAGCAAAGCCAAGTCTGTTCTTTTGGGTGGATTGAAGGACCACCTCAAAACTATTAGGAGGAGCAGGCGGATTGTTGTTATTGGTTGTGGCACAAGCTATAATGCTTCTTTAGCTGCAAGGCCCATTTTGGAAGAACTTTCTGGTTAGTGTTTGTTGGCTGTCATGTGGTACAGAGGTTGAAACGTGGCGTATTGCATATTTCCCTGATTTTGCATGTAACACAGGCATTCCTGTTACGATGGAGATTGCTAGTGACCTGTTGGATAGACAAGGACCAGTATACAGAGAAGATACAGCTGTTTTTGTTAGTCAATCTGGTGAAACTGCAGATACTTTACGCGCATTGGAATATGCATTGGAAAACGGTGCCTTATGTGTGGGCATCACAAACACTGTGAGTAGTGCAATTGCAAGGAAGACCGACTGTGGTGTTCATATAAATGCTGGTTGTGAGATAGGTGTGGCAAGTACCAAGGTAAAGTCATTGCATCTTTTACATATTTTGTCTTCCTTATTTTTGATGTCAGCATTATTGTGGTATTGTCTTGATCTACAGGCATATACGAGTCAGATTGTTGTGATGGCTATGTTGGCTCTTGCAATTGGAGGTGACACAATTTCTAGTCAAGCAAGAAGAGCGGCTGTGATAGATGGTTTATTTCAGTTGCCAAGTATGCTTTAGCTGGTTTCTACCGTCATATGTTACAGGAATCTCCATATCCTGTTTATGCCTGAGCAGGCTTTTTCTGCATGAATGTTCCTCCTGGATCTGTTACATTCACCTTTTTTTTTTGTGACATCTCTCTGAATATATATATAAATATATTGCAGGCAAAGTTAAAGAGGTTCTGAAGCTTGATCAGGAAATGAAAGATCTTGCGAAACTACTTATTGCTGAGCAGTCTCTTCTCATGTTTGGAAGAGGATACAACTATGCCACAGCTCTGGAGGGTGCCTTGAAGGTAAAGGAGGTGGCATTGATGCACAGTGAAGGAATTCTTGCTGGTGAAATGAAACATGGTCCGTTGGCTCTTGTTGATGAAAATCTCCCAATTGTTGTAATTGCTACTCGTGATGCTTGCTTCAGGTTAGTTTTGTTGTAATAAGAGGTTGGTTACATCATCAAAGTTCTTAAATATTTTTCGTTGCTGAGGTTTGTAGTTGTTGACAGTAAGCAGCAGTCAGTTATACAGCAGTTACATGCTCGCAAAGGTCGATTGATAGTGATATGTACAAAAGGAGATGCAGCATCCGTATGTGTTGGTGGATCCTGTCGGGTAATTGAAGTTCCTCAGGTTGAGGACTGTCTACAGCCTGTAATTAACATAGTTCCATTGCAGGTAATGTGCTCTCACTTTTAGATGTGTTGATTCTGAGCCACACTGCAAAGAAATTAGAGGGAGGGAAGAGATAGCGAAGAAGAATAAGAATAGAGAAGAAGAAGAATACTAGACAAGAAGAAAAATAATAAATAAGAGAGAGAATCGGATGCATGCGTGTGTGAGTGGAGAGATAGATGCCAGAAAGAACTCAATTACAACGCCAAAACTATACACCAACACAATATATGTTAACAATCAAACCAAATATTGAGAAAGTAAATATAACCCACAAATTCATCCCAATATTTAGTCGGGAGTCTTGTGCCTTTGCCTAATATACGTACAAAACTCCTTTCAAGTCCCATCACATATATTCCTCCTTTGCAATATACATAGCGACTATTGGTCAGTTAATTTCTGCACAATTGTGTCCTAGATGTTTTATATGGGACTAACAATGTCATGCAGTAGCTGCGTTGTTTTCCATATTTTGGGGATTGCACTTTTTATACATGCTTAATCGATGCAAAATTTTGGAACACCTTGCATGGACAAATTGCTTACCATTTGGACACTGATGTGTTATATTTATTTGATGCAATAGTTTTAATGAAAACTTGTTGAAAAAATGTGAGCCATACTTCTTTTAAATGCATCAGGAAGATGTCAGTCATGATTCTTATTAAATGCATTAGGATGGGAATCTGGGCTGCCATATGGATTATGGCATGCCTGTCTGGTCATGCTAGCATGGAGAATTTATTATGTATGCTAAAAATCAAGGTAGGTCTGGAGAAATAATAAGTTCCTTATCAGTGGTAATAAGCCAACACCATGCTTGACTAGCAACAAGCTGAGATTGACGAGCGCCAATTTTTGATTACTTGGATGTTGTTACTTGAGATGTGTTTTGTGCTCTGATAATAAGTAATAATAATGCTTGAATACAAGTTAAACCAGTATAAGCAACTGTGTCAATGAGTAATTGAGTGGCCAATGTGTAATTGGGTGTTGTGGCAGCAGATTGAGTGGGTCTATCCTGTATTGTTTTGGGTAAGGACTGTATTCGAATAAATGGCATTTTGCAGTAGCTTCATAGATAGATTTATCTATATTCAGAAATTAGTTTTTCATTTACGTCATTATTTTTTCAATGCTCCTTAATATATATATATACATATAGACTACAACAGCAGGGTAATATCTGCACAACTCTACAATCATGCTCATCTGTGTTGCCCTCTTTTTTCACTGCAAACCGTTTTACTTGTCCTGGAAACCTTGCAGCTGTTCAAATACAGAATCAATAATTACCATTGAATTTCTTATTATGTATTGTATGCTGGTTTGGTATTTTCTTTCAGCAGATTACACATGTCTCATATAAGTGAACCAAACCATTCGTTATTGCAAAGCTTACAATTTCTTTTAATCCTCTTGCATCACCAATCAATTCCTATACCCAGCAAGGATAGAATGCATCACTTATCAAGTGCAATCAAAATTTTTTACATTGCGGTTGAAGAGTATAAATTTGCTTACTGTGCTTGTAACATTTAGGTTCAGCCTTTTTCACTGTTGTTGGGTATACATTCTTTTGTGCTTCTCTTTGATTGCTGCAAAGTTTAGAAAAAGACATGGGAGGATCAACTAAAGTAGTAGTTCTTTCAAATTTTTCTTGTGTTTTTCTCAGCAAGCAACAGATATTATAATTTTTGGATAATGTTATTTTCTTTTCTTTGGGTGCAGTTATTGGCCTATCATCTAACTGTTCTACGAGGTCACAACGTTGATCAGCCCCGGAATCTTGCAAAGAGTGTGACTACTGAATGAGTTCATATCCTCAAACAAATCTGTTACACATTGCTAGGGCACTGCAATTTTGGAATCTAATCTAATTTTACAGTTTACTTTGGTCCACAACTTGACAAAGATTTGTTCATCTCTGTCGTTAGTTTTTGGTAGTTTCATTGGTTTTTGGTTGTCTGCTTTATTTGATCTTGGTCTGTGCCTGGGATCAGTGACAAGCTTTCTATTGCACACTAATTTATAGTGGGGATAAGTGACAATTTACTATGTAAAGCATCTTTTAAGAAGGTAATTCGTTAACCGTCTATCCTGATTCATAGTAGTCATACTGATTTTGGCATGCCCAGGATTCTTTGATTTATGAACATTATAGTAAGTGAGGTGATATTATCTCAGACCAACCCATCTATTTCGTTTCTTAAGACCAGGGACTTGGAATAAAAGGGGAGCAAGCTCTTTGTTCCTATTTCTCTTGTAGCTGGATCTTTTGGAATCGCAAGAATCCGAATAGAATTTCAATTCAACACTTGAACAGAAAGCTGGGCAGTTAATTTTAGTACTTGGATCATGACTGCTTAAGTGAGTTGATGTTAAAAAATATTTCATTTATGCCCTATTTATTTATTAATTTGAGTCTGATAAATTGTGTTATATTGTATCGTGTATTTTTTTTTTGATTGATTTTATTTATATTTAATTCATTTATTAATTATTTCGGGTTCACTAGTTTACAAAACAGGTGGTTTAATAAAAATTTAAATCCTTTAATTTCGTGTTGTGTCAACGAATCGTGTCATATTTGACAATCTTGTAACTGCTAATACTCGACAATGGTTTGCAAACGAGCCGTTCTAGTTCCTTGTCGTCACGCTTTGCAGGTATTTGCTGCATAGAGGGTGTCCTGCTGTACGTGCAAATGAAAAAAAGAGCGTAATCTCAGAACTCACAAGAAATCAGTAAGAGTGTAACATACTATCACCCGTACCTTTATGGAGTTCAGGTGGAGGGTAAAAAAAATTAGATGTATATAGTCTTACTCGATTCAAAGATCAGAATTCGATGCATTGACAGCCCATCTATGACCAGAACCATACATCAGAACAATGCCATCCCTTTGATTTTGAAGGATTCAGATGAAAGGGATTAAATTTAGGGACTATGTTACACCAAGGGGATTTCCTGGAGTAGTTTGATTTAATACTGAAAACATTAACAGAACTCTGGAACAACACCTAGTGCAAATTTCCCCCATGATAATAAATTTAGAACCGCAGTTTCACTTTAATGTACTGATAGATAGAGGCCTTTCCCTTTAAAACCTCGGAGGAAAACAAATGATGTACGAGGATAAAGTTGACTCATTACAATGATTAACTTCATACCACCATGCGTTTTTTATTCTCGTATCTTTTGGATTCCAATCCAACGTGCGTAATCCACCCACCTGTCAAGAGAATATGAATGTGGGAATCAAAAGAGAAGAAACCAANTGTATCGTGTATTTTTTTTTTGATTGATTTTATTTATATTTAATTCATTTATTAATTATTTCGGGTTCACTAGTTTACAAAACAGGTGGTTTAATAAAAATTTAAATCCTTTAATTTCGTGTTGTGTCAACGAATCGTGTCATATTTGACAATCTTGTAACTGCTAATACTCGACAATGGTTTGCAAACGAGCCGTTCTAGTTCCTTGTCGTCACGCTTTGCAGGTATTTGCTGCATAGAGGGTGTCCTGCTGTACGTGCAAATGAAAAAAAGAGCGTAATCTCAGAACTCACAAGAAATCAGTAAGAGTGTAACATACTATCACCCGTANCGAATTCATGTCATATATGAATCGTATATAATTAATTTATAATCAAGTTGTATCGTGTATTTTTTTTTTGATTGATTTTACTTATATTTAATTCATTTTTTAATCATATGACACCTTGTAACTGCTAATACTCGGCAATGGTTTGCAAACGAGCCGTTCTAGTTCCTTGTCGTCACGCTTTGCAGGTGTATTTGCTGCATAGAGGGTATCCTGCTGTACGTGCAAATGAAAAAAACAGCGTAATCTCAGAACTCACAAGAAATCAGTAAGAGTGTAACATACTATCACCCGTACCTTTATGGAGTTCAGGTGGAGGGTAAAAAAAATTAGATTCATATAGTCTTACTCGATTCAAAGATCAGAATTCGATGCATTGACAGCCCATCTATGACCAGAACCATACATCAGAACAATGCCATCCCTTTGATTTTGAAGGATTCAGATGAAAGGGATTAAATTTAGGGACTATGTTACACCAAGGGGATTTCCTGGAGTAGTTTGATTTAATACTGAAAACATTAACAGAACTCTGGAACAACACCTAGTGCAAATTTCCCCCATGATAATAAATTTAGAACCGCAGTTTCACTTTAATGTACTGATAGATAGAGGCCTTTCCCTTTAAAACCNTCATATAGTCTTACTCGATTCAAAGATCAGAATTCAATGCATTGACAGCCCATCTATGACCAAAACCATACATCAGAACAATGTCATCCCTTCGATTTTGAAGGATTCAGATGAAAGGGATTAAATTTAGGGACTATGTTACACCAAGGGGATTTCCTGGAGTAGTTCGATTTAATAATGAAAACATTAACAGAACTCTGGAACAACACCTAGTGCAAATTTCCCCCATGATAATAAATTTAGAACCGCAGTTTCACTTTAATGTACTGATAGATAGAGGCCTTTCCCTTTAAAACCTCGGAGGAAAACAAATGATGTATGAGGATAAAGTTGACTCATTACAATGATTAACTTCATACCACCATGCGTTTTTTATTCTCGTATCTTTTGGATTCCAATCCAACGTGCGTAATCCACCCACCTGTCAAGAGAATATGAATGTGGGAATCAAAAGAGAAGAAACCAACAATCTGCTATAATCAGGATTTAAAGGACCTAAAAAGTCATTACATCAATGATCCCAAGAATGTGTTGCCCGTTCGAACAGCAAAGCAGATTGCACTCAGTATGAGCTTGTGTTGGTGTAGCAAGGGTTCCAATATCCGTTGTTCAATAACTCCTGCCAATACTTGGTACCTGTTGAACAAAAACACATCATTAAACAGACTTAGTAGAGCAAAAGTGCAAGGAAAAATGAAGACGATCATAACTAAACCCTAACAAGACTCCAACAGATATCTCAGCTCTGATGGAGATAGTTAAAACAAACCTTCTGCCACTAGAGATGCCCTGGATTATTGTGGCACTTTCATTCATTCAATCAACTAGAAAGAATAATATTTTCATAGAAAATTTCCCATATTTTGTCTGTCTGTTCGACTACTATTTTATCTCTTTGTTTGACTATTGGCTAAATATTTCTATTACCAAAATAATGTGGGAATTATACAGCTAGAGAGAATAATCAACATCAAGGAAAGAAGGTGATCCTCGGTATCATCTCATGCACCGGGGTGCTCTTAATTATTTGCAATTGAAGGTTAAAAGTTCAGCCCACACAGGACTGATTTTTTTATTATGCATATTTTGAATTCAGTGGCAATTGCTGGACTAGTTCACAGCATCACATATTTTCTGAGTAATTTACAAAAAAATCCAACAAGCTCAAAGGTAACTAACTACAAACTGGATGCTAATTACTTGAAAAGTCACGTACCTAAGGTTGCTAGAAACTGCCATATATACACCATAGGCAACACTGGTTGATATTATTGGCACATCCTCAGCTTCGCCAGCAAAAGATTTATCAATAGCTTTTCTTGCATTAATCAATGCATTTGTTATGCCTGTACCCACCTGCAAAAAGCTTATATCATAAAATCCCACATGCAAAAAATTGCAATCACATTCCAAGAATTCAACAGAGATGAACTAGACAATAACCAACTTATCCTGGCCTTTTACCGCTTGAACACCAAAAGAGACATATGCAAGCCAATTGCTCTGGTGAGAGCTAACTGTGAAGTGGGGACACACGTGTGCATGCCCACCCATGTGCATATGCACACCACCCCCAGTTTTATGCATTAAGAAACTAAATGAACCTATTAAAGACAATTTGCATCAAAAATGTTTTTGAATTTCACATTGATGTTTGAAAGTGGCAAACACATGTTATCAACACCTACAGAAAGACTCAGGTTTGATATAGGTAGCATAGTTTGGATCCCAATACAGAATGTGCAAGTGCCAATGCCAATGGCCATGTGGAGGTTGACCTCAAGATAAAGTATAAGAGTCCGTAGAAAACAGGACATCGCAAAAATTTCATAGAAAATTCACAAGATCCTTAAACCGGCATCATAATTCTGGCTCTGATGTAATTCCAAAGACAAACATGCACCACAAAGGAACTTCTGAATAATACAAAAATGCAGCATACATGTATTAAAAAAAACTCATGGGTATATTACACAAAACAACATATAGATAGAGAATAACAATCAAATATGTAAAAAAGGAAAGAAACAATCAAATATGTAAGGCCAAAGAAAAATAATGAAAGGAAAGGATAATTCTCATTTCTTCTAGTTTTTTATTGTTGGTCTGACAAGTCTTTCTTTAATTTTGGTTAGGGAACAAGGTCAAAAACAAGCAAGACAAGGAACCACAAGTGTATGTGATAATTGCTCAATTGTAATTCACCATAATTTAGGCCAGCGAGTAAAACGCAAGAATCAGACATCAAGTAACCATGTAAGCAAAGTCCAGTTATGTATTCTTCTAAACTGTGCGTTAGCGAACAAACAGTCAGCTTCAGAAACAACAATGGCCATTGAAATTTACCACCAACGGAGATTGGAACACGTGGACAGTTCCATGTTGATGGAACAATACTGGGGCAGAACACCTAGAACTAAATAAGTCTAAATCTTTGTTGATGAACATGGAAACATCAGAAATAATTTCCTTACCAGAGATGCACCAGTTCCAACTACAAATNGAGAATAATATTTTCATAGAAAATTTTCCATATTTTGTCTGTCTGTTCGACTACTATTTTATCTCTTTGTTTGACTATTGGCTAAATATTTCTATTACCAAAATAAGGTGGGAATTATACAGCTAGAGAGAATAATCAACATCAAGGAAAGAAGGTGATCCTCGGTATCATCTCATGCAGCGGGGTGCTCTTAATTATTTGCAATTGAAGGTTAAAAGTTCAGCCCACACAGGACTGTGATTTTTTTATTATGCATATTTTGAATTCAGTGGCAATTGCTGGACTAGTTCACAGCATCACATATTTTCTGAGTAATTTACAAAAAAATCCAACAAGCTCAAAGGTAACTAACTACAAACTGGATGCTAATTACTTGAAAAGTCACGTACCTAAGGTTGCTAGAAACTGCCATATATACACCGTAGGCAACACTGGTTGATATTATTGGCACATCCTCAGCTTCGCCAGCAAAAGAT